AGCCAGGCTCCTCTGCCACGCCAGCAGCCCCTCAATACTGGGGTCACCTGGGAAGGCTCCTGCTTGGAGAGGGGAATGGAAACCTCCTTGGGAGATGGACAGGACAGCACAGCATGGCTTGGGGTATGGTCAGCCACAGCTTCCATCAGCTGGCTGGTATCCCTGGGGCCTGCTCCTGCCCAGCAGGGAAACCCCTCTAGGAGAGGGGGCAGGTGAATCTGGGCTGGTATTTGCCAGTGGATGATTCCACTCTGCCCCGGAGCCTGGGGGACAGCCAGCCTCTGCCAGTGTTCAGTGTCACCTCCCTAGGGATGCTGCATGCTGTCCCTCCTGCATCTCTGGCCACAGTGGAGGTAGTGGTGGTGGTCTCCCATTGCTGAGTGCCTGGGAGGGATCCCCAGAACAAAATGGCCTTTGGTGGAAGGGTCTGATGAGATCCCCAACACAGCTGCATGGTGAGAGCCTTGGGCTGGGATGAGGCCAGCAGCAAGAGGTTCCAGCAGCAAGGATGTACGCCCTGCATCCTCATCATCTGCAATGCAGACAACCTGCCCAGCACAGGTGAACTGCTTTCCTAGAACCTCATCCTCTCCTTATCCCCTGCTTGTCACCAGGGCCAGGCATCAAAGAAGAGGATGGATGTGTGGGACAGATACAAACTTCTGCCAGGCACCTTGCCCTTGCCATGGGCAAGCATACTCCTGCTTTCCTGCTCTGGCTGCTGTGACATCCATGGGCAAAGCCCACATGTGACCCATCAAACACAGCTGAGGTCCTTCAGAAGTGGGAGAGGGAATGAATCTGAGGTGGGGAAGGTGCCACAGTCCTTGTCTTGTACCCCTCGCCCATAAGCTCTGAAAATGGTGGGGAATGAGGTGGGGGAAATGAGCAAATCCCCATTTTAGGGGCAGAATAAACATCAGCAGCAACCCTCCAGGTCTTCGAGCGAAGGAAGAGGCTGCAGCCCCAGGCAGGGTGGAGCAGGTCGGCAGATGCAAGAATTTCATCTGCAAGGAGCAAGGAAATGTCCCGGAGCTGTTTGATCTTATTGTATGGAGGGAAGCGGGAGTGGGCGTCCAGCCTTGCTGGAACCAAACAAAGATTATAAATACCTCCACCATCAACAGCTCCTCGCTGACCTGGCCTGCCAGAGCCCCGGCTGCTGGCTGATTCCCAAGGGGAATAATGAGCTTTGGTTTCCATCCCCCCCTCAAACACAGTGGCAGAGAGGAGCAAGAGTGCACAGCAGACAGCTCCAGCCACAAAGCTGAAGGGGGAATTATCCTGTGGAATGATAGATGTGGGGGTGGCTTCTCTCACTGACTGCCTGCACGGCTGTGCCCAGCAGCAATGGCCCCTTCAATGTTGGCTTCAATTCAGTTTCTACTGCCACTGGTGTCAATAAAGAAGTTTAAGAACACATACTTTAAAAGCCCTGTGATGTGGCATTTAGGTGTGAAATGATGTCTGAGCCTGGTGGACAGTCTCAGAGAGGTGTCACTTAGATCTCCAAGCCAGATCTAGGTATATGTCTTTCCCTGATTCAGTCCTTGGGTTCGAATTTGATGCCACACACGCTACTAAGAATGCTGCCTGACATCAGAGTGCTTTGGGGCTTGTAGGGAGCTGGGTGTGCACCTGGGCAGCCAGGGGACCCTGGCACAGGAGCTGTCCCTACCAGGAAGGGAGGACAGAACCATGCAGTTTTGGGGAAGTTGGGAGCCTGAAGAAGATAAATTTAGTCTTCCCCCGTGCGCCCATCGGTGGCCACGGAAACATGTGATTCCCCAATGCCATGCTGGGGGAAGGAATGAAAAGACTTCCCAAAACTCACATATGCTCTCATAAGTCCCGTGCCCAGTCAGGGAGCAGTGCTGCATGTCCATAGCAGGAAGGCCCTGGTGGCCCTGGGAGTGGAGAAACTTCAGTTTTGGCTCTGCTTTGGCACAGGGAGCTGCAGTCCTGGAGCAAGGCTGCCTGCCACCCCCTTGCCCCGCGCTGGGAGTGCCTCTGTGGGGAACCACTCCCCACCACATCCATGCCCCCGGGTCCCACAGGCACTTCTAAGGGTTGGTGAGAAGCCAGCAAGTTGTCAGGTACAAAAGAAGTCCCACGCTGGGGGGGCTGCAAATCAAACGCAAGCCGCCCTCGGGACAGCCCGGTGGAGCTGCTCTGGCAGAAAAGCTGCCGCGGTGCATGAACCCGGCTGCGCCTCCCCCGGGGCACCTTCGGCAGCCCTTCTCCCCCATCGAGCATAGCTGAAGCTCCCTGCTTGTCACCGGGATCAAAGGCAGGGGCCGGGGTGGGAAGGCAGGGTGTCAGCTGGGCCACTTGTGAAGCTCACTGCAGGAGCCAAGACCTCCAACTTGAACCCATTTTTTTTCACCCCCCCCAGGCATCCTTACACACTTCTAAGGTCTGCGCTCCAGCATCACAGCTGCATCTCGTTTCATCTTTGGCAAGGAAAAGAGGCAGCAGCACTGGCTGGGGCCAGATGCTGCTGGAAAAGGCCCCCCCCAAGCCGGGAGAGCGGGGTCCCAGCCCTGCACTGCTGCCAGCTGGGGAGAACTGGGTGCTGGGGGTGAAACCCAGTCCCGCTTCCCAGCCGCAGCCCTCCCACCACCAGCTGGGACAGGGCACGTTCCCACGGCTTTCTGTGTTATTTCAGCAGGGTCAGGGCTGTCCTTGTCCTCCTGTGGCTCTCGGGTTGGTCTGAGCATCATCAGGGTGTGGGATCTTTTCTGACTGGACTGGGATGTCGTTGGACATTTTGGAGCAGGGAAGATGCAAGCAGCACCACCGCAGCATTCACAGAGCTGTGGGCTATGAGATGACAGGACCAAAAAGAAAAGCCCAAAGTAATTAAAAATAAATGTAAGTTACCCTAAAAATATTTGCTCTCAGGAGCTGCTGGACCAATGTGTGATCTGCAACAATTGCTGCCTGTTGCACTGGGGATTGTCCCCGTGCTTTGCAGGAGCAGGAAGGCTGGGAGATGAGAGTTGCAGGGTGGACTCAGGTTTTAGGAGTGGGAGGCTTTGCCAAAGCCAGCTTGGCATCCCATGGCTTCACTCCCCACCCACACAGCTTGGCAGGGACCTTCCAAACCAGGTTCCCAGGAGCTCCCCAGCAAAGCAGCCTATCCTGCCTATCCTGCGGCGTTATCCTGGGGCTCCGGGGAGCGCTCAGAGGGGCTGAGAGGATCCACACAGCCCTGAGCCCCGCTAAGCAGGGCTTGTCTCCAGGCCAGTCCCACCAGCCAGCCCTCGGCGACAAGTGTCTAAGAGGAAGGAGCGCCACCTCCTGACGTTGGATGTCCCCAGGATTCCAGGAAACGGCTTTTGTGGGGCTTTTTTCCCCACCATCCGCTGTTTTATCAGTCAGCAACAATCGCTTCAAAAATAAACAAACCCAAGTCTGGCACTGGGTTCCAAGACAAAGTAACTCCTCCTGCCAGACACACGCCGAGCATCTTCAACAATGACATTCTTCCAGGACTGATTCCACCTACTTAGGTGCCAATTTGACTAAAAATTCCCTCTGCTATCATTGTCACTTCAAAATCAGCAGCGTCCCAGAGCTCCCACCACAAGCCACGGTAAAATTAAGTGCTTTTAGAGATTTTCATCATGATAGTCCATAGTTTGTCATGGATGCTCGCTCCCAGCACATCTATTTATCCTGATAATCGCAATTCCCTTGGATGCATCTGACTGGTGAGATGGAGGCAGCAGCAGGCAGGGCTGGCTCAGAGCCTTGCCTTCCCTAGCCAGCTAGTACATACCAGCCTTAAAAAGTGAAAAGCCCACCTAAGGCTAACAGGTGGGAGGGAAAAAACCTCATTGCTCCAAGCTGCCCATAAAACTGCAGGCTCAGGATGGACAGAAGTTGGGAATTCCACTTTTCTACATCAGAGGAATACTAATTTAAGTATTAAATTAAGATGGATCTTCTCCACCTACCTGCCAATTTGAGACTTGTGACTAGGGGAAAAAAAATTAGCAGGTGAGACCTCTCTTATTTCACTTGGCTGAAATCAGCCAGCAGGTTCATGTGTTAAATGAGGCTGACAGTGAGCCAGGCAGCTCTTTCACTCACCCGGTCTGGTTTCTAGGGAAACAAGGTAAATGTTTTTCCTCCTTCTTGCCACCTTTTAACTCTTAGAAGGCTCTCACACACCACCACAGGAAAAAACTCTACATTGCCACCTTTCCGCGCTTCAGATGAGAGCAAGTAAGACCAAGCCAGGTCTGTTTCAGGGCCATGCTGCACTTTGGTGTGAAGGTCTGGAGTTATAGCCTCAACTGCGGCCATGTCTCCAATTATGGTCGGTGAAGGACACACCGAACACCTCCCCGGGAGCCAGCAGGGTATTTTAGGTCGGGCAGTAACACAACACCAGCGGCACTCACAGATCTTCTGCCTCCGAGGGTGGGATGCAGATCATTCCCCTCCCCACCCGGGCAGGCCTGCTTCCGGTCACCTTTCAGCAGGGAAGCTGCTTGTATTCAGAAAAATCCAGCTGTTCTGAGGCTGGGACATTTCACACCACCTGCTGCTTTTCTGCTGCTCTCAGGGACAGCAACAAACTGCATTTGCGAAGTGTGCAGGCTACAGCCCCTACCACAGACACTGGATGGTTTCCATGGCAACAAACAGCTACCTAAAATTTAGTGCTTTGCAGCGTCTGGTTTATTTCAAAACCCATTTGACTCAAAGCTCTTTGTCCACCCAGCTGAGGACTGACAGATGGACTGATACCTCAGCAACTGCAATCACATTTAGGGCCCCTGCTGCTTTACTATTTCACACAATCAGAGACACCTTGCTCTGACCCACAGTCTTTGCTCTGCAAAACCAGCTTCATTTTCTCTAGAGCAACCCTGCTATAAGGTTAGCTCATGAGCTAAAACTTTGTGCTTCTTTGGTTTGATCCACACGTAGAACCCACAGTCAGAGTACCAGGCCTGACACACTGATGTATACACAAAGAGGCAAAATTAATTTCTTTAAAATCTTTATTTTTTGGTCTGAGAGCACACAGGGCACAGGACCATTCCATCTGTTAGGCTGCCTCCTCCTTTGCGATGCGATCCTTCTTGAGTGGTCCCTGAAAAAAACCCACAAAAAACAAGGTATGTAAACAGCAATCTGCACGAAAGACACAACATTGCATAAAGAAATACGAAGACACGAGATAAAGAAATCAAGGCATAAAAAGCTCTCTATGTTGCAACCCACTGGAAACCCCATGCCCCATCCCCAGAGGTTTTGGGGAAAGCTGAACGTGGCACAACCACACTTGGCTGACTCTGGATACGTCTGAGCAGCAATGCTGGTGCCACCTGGTGGGGAAGCTCCTGCCAGGGCCTCCCTCACAGCACTCCCAGCTGCCTTCTCCAGCAAGTGACAAACTGGGAATGCCACCACTGTGAGCACCCTCCTCGTGAGCTGCTCTTAGAGGAAATGGAGCAGTGCTTGTTTCCGTGCTTCAACACTCAACAACTTGTGCCCAAACACAGCAAACCCTCCGACACTGAGAGCTTCCCAGAGGAAGTGGGACCCCAGGCCCTCCGCAGTTATAACCAAGCTGGCAGGAGGAGGCCTCCCAGCTGAAATTTCTGTTTCACAGGAACCTGGGCCACATGACAGCCCAAAAGCCATCAGCTGCCACAAGCTCAAAGAACACAATAAATGCGCCAGGAAGAGCCCTTACCATGAAAGCCTTCTTCTCCTCAGCTGTCTGGAAGCGGCCATGGCCAAATTTGGAGGTTGTGTCAATGAACTTCAAGTCAATCTTCTCCAGGGCCCGGCGCTTGGTCTGCACAAGCAGGGACTGAAAAGAGAGATGGCAGGTGAGTATCCAGCAGCAGCAGCAGCAGCCCTTTAGCCTCCAGTACACTGGCTACTTCTTGTCACCTCTGTAGCTATATGCCTCCTTGATCCCTCTGATCTCAGAATTCTGCTTCTACCATGTGCAAACAACAGTAACAATAAGCCATCTATGCTGCACCTCTGTCCTCCCAGGCTGGAGACTGGTCAGCTCCCCGCAGCACGAGCCCCACTCTGCCAGTGTCCTTCTGGTCACAAGAATTCTCAAGCCTAAACCATCACTACAGACAAGCCTGGACAGAGCTACCTGCAGAAATGACTTGGTGCCAGTCCCAAAAGCATTACTACGAGGTGGGTTTGTGTGGAAGGCTTGATCTTTTCTAGCAAGCCACTTGATTCCCCAGAACAGCACACACCATCTGCACCAGAGGCAGCACAGCTCCCTTTGAACTGTTCCAGCCCATGTGACAGCAGGTAGCACTACTCACCTTGCGCAGGGTCAGGACCCTCTTCTTGGTCCCCACAACACAGCCCTTCACCATGATGAAGTCATTGGTCACCTCACCGTAGTGGACAAAGCCTCCCTGAGGCAAGGAGAGAACAGTCAGCGCTCTGTACCCAGCAGGACCACATCTGCCTACAGATCCACACCACTTCTGGGCCTTGGCCATTCCCACATCCACTGAAATCCTGTTTCCAGTATTGCCTTTCACTGGTCAAGTTTCTTGATGCAGCCATTTAGTTGTTGCTGTAGGACTTTTATTAAAACAGCAGAAGAGGCTGACAAAAAAGCCAAAGCTCCTCTTGCTAATGGTACAAGTACCATTCAAGGTTTGCAACATCTCTGTCCTACTGCCACGTAACAAATGCCATTTCCATGTTATACAAATCAATACTGAGAATGACTAAACACCACCACTGCCTCCAACAGCAGCTGACTTATTTCAAGAGCTCTTCATTCAATCATTTTGTGACTTAAACCAAGCCCATTTGCCTCTTTAAGATTGCAGGTCACAAGCAGACACTTGGCACAGAGCTACAGCAACTTACCAGAGGATTAATGCTCTTGTCAGACAAGTCATAATCAGTTGATGCATTGTTTTTGATCAGCTTTCCATCCTTGATTTGGTAACCTTGGCCAATCTTGTAAATCTAAAAACATAAAGGAAGTCTACTTAGCAAAAGGCAGAAGAGCCTGTCATCAGATAAAATGTAAGGAATTTTACATAACCTCAGAGCAAAGAGTGCTACACTTAGAAAACACATGGCCATGCAAGAATTTTAGTTATCCAACATAAGCAACCATAACCATGACCACTGTCCCCAAGACAACGTTCTAACAGACCAAAACAACCCAAGCAGAGCTCCCCAGTCTGTTCACTGTCACAGAGCAACTGACACCAGGCAGCTCTCGTCCTTCCCCAGCAGCTGAGAGACACCAACCTTCTTGTTGATCTCAGTGCGGTGGTGGTAGCCCTTCTGGCCCGCCCGGGCCACGGAGAAGGCCACGCGGGCAGGATGCCAGGCACCAATGCAGGCCACCTTGCGCAAGCCCCGGTGAGTCTTGCGCGGCAGCTTCTTGGTGTGCCAGCGGCTGGTGACACCTGCAAGGGACCAAAGCAGCTTGCTGTCAAGCTGAGATGTCACCAGAGTCTTCAACCACAGTTTAAACTTCTAAGTCTTTTAAGCTGCAGTCCCCTCAGGCAACAAAGGGAAGCACAGACCCAGCATCCCAGGAATTGACATTTCCTGGTGAAGCTCCCTCCCTGGCTGTCCCTGGGCTGTGTTCTCAGAAGGAAGGCAGCATGGAATGACTCCTCATGGATGTCAGGCGCTGTGCCCAGCACTCATTCCATGGTCTCATCATTGAACTGTGACAGCAGTATGGATTTACCTACCCAGCTCTTGGCACATGCACTTGAGAACACTCAAGGCCAGGATCTCATTAAAAACTGTATCCTATCACAAAGAGAAGGACTTCCATGTGTTTACCTTTATACCCCTTGCCCTTGGTGACTCCAATGACATCTATCATCTCATCCTGGCCAAAGACTGTTGACACAGGCACTTGCTGTTCCAGCTTCTCCCGGGCCCAATCCACTTTCTCAGCAACAGTGCCACCATTCACCTGGATCTCCATCAGGTGAGACTTCTTCTGTCTCAGGGGGAGCAAGCGCATCTAGAACACAAAGCATGACATTCAGCTCCCGCTCTTCTCAAATGGACACTGTATTAATAAGCCCAGCATCCTTTTAGGCCTGGCCTAATCTATTTTTCTAGTATCCTTTTCCAAAATGTAAAACTTAAAGGTGGCCCTACAATAAGGGAGAAGGCTGTATAGTGGTTTGCAAGTCATTGCACCTGGAAGTTATAAGCCACACACAGAAGCACAGAGTTCTGTAAACCCACAGCCATCAGCCAAATTCCACTGAAGAACAAGAGACAAGAGGCAATCGTTTTAAACTGTAACAGGATGGATTTAAATTCGATCTAAGGAGGATTATTTTTATTATGAGGGTTGTGAGTCACTGGCACAGGCTGCCCAGAAAAGCTCTGGATGCCCCACCCCTACAAGTGTTCAGTCAGGTTGGACAGGGACCTGGTCTAGTGAAAAGTGTCCCTGCCCGTAGCATGGGGGTTGGAACTTGGAGGATCCTTAAGGCCCCTTCCAACCCAAACGGTTCTGATCCTTTGATAAAGCCTGCCACACTTAAGGCCGCTTTGGGTTGGATCTCATTTACAGTTACTTCTGCTTTATTTAGTAGAGGAAACCAGAGAGAATATCAATAGAAAATGTAACACTACCTCTACTGTAGGAAATTAATTCTAGTAAAATTAGCCATCTTACTGCACTTAGAGCCAACTGAAAATTTACTGCATCTTCCAAGAAAGTTAGACAGAACACTGACAGCTGGGGAGACACCACATCACTCAGCAGAACACCCCCTGCAGCTGAGCAAGAGAAGACACTGAAGTCTGAGTGCTTGCAATCCCAATAAAATGCAGCCTGAAATGATGCTGAGCACACAAACCCGAGTTCAATGCTCAGTGTGGTTTTATTTGTAGCTGAAATAGAGTCCAAATCTACACAGAATTAGCAAATGACTGAGCCCAGAAAGTTCCTACTACAGCTCAGTCTCTTTCAGACACTCCTTCAAAATGAGCCAGAGGTTGCCAAGGCTCCTCAAATATCCTGTGAGCACAAGCCATGACTCTAATAACCTGGCAGTACTTCTTCATGCTATTGAAATCTTTTTCCAGCTGCTTTTTGCCCTCCTCATCTTGCCATTTCTTGCAGTATTTGGTGAAGGCCTTCTTCTTGGACTTGTGCCTTCAGGAGCAGAGCAGAGACAAGGTTTGGCTAAGCCCTTCATCAATCCCCAAGGAAGTGGGGTGAGCGGAAGGAGTTGCCACCTCAGTTGGCTTTGGCTCATTGCCAGTTTCTAATGACTCTTTTCCACTGGCAAGCGGAGCCTGGAGCTCATCAGACAGTGGCAAAATTGCCAAAGCTGAGCGGAGCTGCCATGAATTCCAAAGCACATTAACATTCACACTACAGAAAACAAAAGACTGTAAGAAGATGTCAAACAATAACAGAATAAAAACAGATTTTCAAAGCAATTGTGAGGTGACTGTGATCTGCTTGAAAATAACCTAATTTCCCCCCCTTGTCTGGCCAACAGCAAGGTCGTTACTAAAACACCCTTGAGAACTTTATTGCTCCACTCTGACGTCTTTTCAGCCTGCCAAGTTCATAAACAGGCTGGAAGCTCCAGACACGCTGGAGCCACACTTGGGCAAACGCACACTTTCAATCACAACAACAGTGCCTGGAACAGCAATCTCAAGTGACACTTGTCTTCCCCTTTCCTGAGAAAACAGGGCTACAGTCAGGACTCGACACTCAACAACAAGCGCCAGAGGCGATTTCCTTATGTCCGCCCGTCGAAGTATCATCACGTGTAGCCTGTTAAGGAGCTCTCAGGCCAAACCCAAAGCCACCATACCCACACCAAGAAGGGCACTACCTAAAGTTATGCTGCCACCCTCACGGAGCCATTTCATCAAACCTAAACACTAACTGCTAAAAAGCTGTGCTAGGATCATTTCAACACAGCAGTAAAAAATATGAACCTCAGCCTGAGACCAGTCAAGGCCCTGCTCTCTCACCAGTTCTTGTAGAAGCGGCGCTTGCACTCATCGCTGATGTGCTCGGCAAAGACGGTCTTGAAGCTACGGAGGCCACGAGGAGTCTGCACGTATCCCACGATGCCCACAATGACCATGGGAGGAGTCTCTATAATAGTGACTGCCTCCACCACCTCCTTCTTGTTCACCTCTGGATGGAAACAAAAATGCAGCACAATTAATTCCAGCAGGAACTCTTCTAACACTACCTGTTTTTTCTCACTCCCAAGTCCTTCATGTGAAAGGTTAAATGACTCAAGTTCTTTTCACAGAGATGATGCAGGGTAAAGCGACCAACTGAGGTCATAATTTAATGCCATGCAAAACTTTGAGGCTGGCTCAGGAGAAAGATCAGCAAAACTGGATAGGCAAAATGGATGTCAGCAAGGATCCAGGACTGGACAATCTCCAAAAAAAACAGTGAAGGCAGCTGACCGATGTCCCCCACATCCAGAAGAGCCATCCCAAGGAGAAGCCTGTTACTGTGCAGCTAAACCAAACCAGCCTTTACAGCAGAAATACACCACCTACTTGGACTTGGAACAGGGTGAAGTCAAGCTAGAACTAAAACCCAGAGCTGCTACTGAAGGGGCCACCTGCCACCATTCCTGACCAAACCCACCTCCTGTTTTAAGGGGAACATTGATACATACTAGATCCAGGTCTGTCCACCTCCCGGACAATGTGGGTCATGCCAGCTTTGTACCCCAGGAAGGCAGTGAGATGAACAGGCTTGCTGGGGTCATCTTTGGGAAAGCTCTTGACCTTGCCCCTGTGCCTGCTGCTGCGTTTGCGGGGCAGGAAGCCCAGGGAGCCGTGCCTCGGGGCCGAGAACTTGCGGTGAGACTGCGGAGAGAAAACCGACACTTAGGGCTTGCTACAGACTTGCTTAGGCCTACTTGAGGGCCAAGGCCAACTCTGTCCTTGCCTGAGATCATGAATATTACATATATCCAAGACATTTCATGTTCTAGAAATTCCCATTATCAGCTGCGGGGCTTCTGAATTCCATCATGTTACAGGAATGTGATCCCCATGCAATAACTATGTACTTCTCAGACTTCTGTAATGCCCCTTCCAAGCTTATTCTAAGATGGCACCAAGTCCCACCCTAGCCAGGGAACATCAGCTGTGATTTGGCAGCAGCGTGCCACCAGACTTTCAGTCCATGAAAAATGGAAATGAAAATGCAGCACAGACAACTTCACATTCTTCAATGAATCGTTACCAAAATAAGCATTACAGAAACAATTTCAGTTTGCAAAACTGCAGTAAACCAGCACCTCAACATCCACCTCTGAGTCAATCATTCAGTATTTTTTCCTAAGTTATTTTGGTATTTTTTCCACTATCTTTTCCAGTTATTTGTTCCCCTCGAGGACCACCCTTGCAGCCTTCCCTCTGTGACCATGTAAAGACAGGGTTCCGTCCGGAGAACTCTCAGCCCAAAGAAAGATTTACCCATCCAATCTCACACGCAAATTAAATAAAAATACCGTGCAGCTATACACGGAACTAAAAATATATATGGTTTTATTTAAAACAAAAATACTCGTCACGAGCTACCCTAAGCCAAGTTTAAAGCCCTAAAAAGGCCATAACCACAGGAGCTCTCCAGACAAAAGCTGCCCCCGTTCCCAGAGAAAGGATCCCCAAATGCCCCCAACAGCCGCCCGCTCCACCCGAACCCCGCGCCCCGTCCGGCACCGCACAAACCCGCCCGGCCTCCCCGCGCAGCCCGAAATGAGCCCCGCACGGCGTCCCGCAGGGGCCGG